ACAGCAAGAGAATGATGCTTCCACCACCTACACTGCAGACGGGGAAGGTGCAAGTGGGATGATAGAGTTGAAGAAACAAATTACTAATGTGATTGTAGGAGGGTGATTAGAATATTTATTATTTTATTATTTATACTTAAGTATTATTTGTATTTTATTCAGTTCCTGTTTATATTTATTTTCTTGTATATTTGATATTGATTTTTTTAGGCATTTTACGTTATTTGTAAGTTTTTTTTTCATTTGCATTTCATTTATTTTTGTTTTTGTGGGTTCGAGGGGTCGATGACGAAACGTTTGACTTTATGGGTTTTTCTTCAAGAACAATTAGTGTTGTTGGTTAGTGTAATATGTGAAATCCTAATGAAGGCAACCAAGTTCCAACTTTTCGGTGTAGCGGTTTTTGAGGTTCTTCTTGAATGTATTTTTTGATATTATGTGGGTTAAAGGCAACCAAGAACCTTTGTTTGACAAGGTCTATTGGCTTCTTCTTGTAACAGATTCGTTGGTTGGTATACAGAGTTTTCTGAGACCTCAAGCCTGCACAACACTGTAATTGCTTCTTTTATCAATTTCTATTTATTTATTTTGTACAGTTCCTATTTATTTTCGTTCCTTATATATTTGATATTGATTGTTTGGGTTTCTTACGCTATTCGAATGTGTTTTAATTTCATTTGCATTTAATTTATTTTACTTTTGATGGGTCTGAAAGTCCATGATGAGACGTTTGACTTTTAAAGTTCTTCTAGATGTCTGTTAATCACTGTTGGTTGGAGTTACATATGAAATCATAATGCAGACAACAATGTTCCTCTTTTCTTTTCAGCGATATGGTTTTTGAGGATCTTCTGGATAGCATTTTTTAGTGATATGCATATGTGACACGCGAGGTTGGTTTTACGTGGGTTAAAGGCAACCAAGACCCTTATTTTTTGCAAGATTTGTTGTCTTCTTGTAGTGACAGATTCGTTGGTTTGTATACAGAGTTTTGCGAGACCTCGCACTTGAAAAAAACAATAATTAACTATATTTTTTAACAATTTCAACTTCTGTTATGACTAATGGATTTGTTTTTATAGCATTCAGAAAAGATGAGTTCGAGGATTTCAGGAACCTCCCGACGATTTCTCTGCCACTGCAAACTTCAGTCTTTCCTACTGACGTCGCGTTAGGCACGTAGCTATGGGAGAGTCACACAGGTACCTGCAAAGAATAAAGGAAAAGAGTGACTTCTTCTGGTGGACAGACAATCTGACAGATTGTGCTGTAAACAGTGATCAGGAATGGATTGCATCCTTGAATGACGGCGTAGCTCGTGTCATTCGCCGTCTGTATTTTAAAAATAATATAATTATATTATTAAGTATAATTTTAATAGTTTTTTTAGCAATTTGATAAGCACTGTTAAGTGAGGTGTATGGGTTACTTTTTGTACTGTTTTAAAGTGAACTTTTGTTTCTCAAGTATTAAATATATTGTTATAATAGTTATAATACAAACGACATTACTATACAGGGGCAGAAAGATCATTTGTCTAGAAACAGCTGTCTCACAGTTGTTCTCTAACTACAAAAAATAAACAGCTAGCCAACTTATCTAAAACAGTGTCTGCGCAGCAGCTTCTTGGGACAACGTCTGACAATCTGACAGATTGTACTGTCGACAGTGATAGGGAATGTACTGCATCCTTGAATGATGGCGTAGCTTGTGTCATTCGCCATCTGTGTTGTAAATATAACATAATCATATTATTAAATATAATTTTAACAATTTTTTTAGCAATCTTGATACTCACCGTTAAGTGAGGTGCATGTGCTATTTTTTGTATTGTTTTGAAGTGGATTTTTGCTTCTCAAGTATCAAATATATTGTTGTGACAGTTCTGTTACAAACAACATTACTATATAGGGGCAGAAAAATCATTTGTCTAGAAACAGCTGTCTCACAGCTCTTTTCTAATTTTAAAAAACAAACAGCTAACCAATTTATCCGAAAGCAGTGTCCGCGCAGCAGCTTCCTAGGGCAATGTCTGCACAGCAACTTATTGATAAGCACCAACTGCCCCAAACAGACCTTTAATCCTAAAATTGTTTGCCATGAGAGATGTTAAATATGGTTAAATCATGTGAAATTAGTTTGCAATTTATAAAATCAAAAAATTATTATATTTATATTTTATTGAACTAATTAACCATTTAGTAAGAATTTACTATTCGTTAATTAGACATTGATTATTTATTTCCTAATCTAGGTAAATATTGCTTAAAATTGTATGAAAAAAATCAAATATTAAACCATTACTTTAATAATTATTAATCAATCATAAATTAAATATTTATCAACCCGATATCAATTATATTACTAAGTTATAATTAGCCTAAAAAACAACATATAAATCAATCATTAATTAATAATCAATTAAATGAATTAAAATTAAATTCAATTACACTAAATAAAGAAAAAAGTTCAGATCCTCCATTCAATTACATATTAATATTAAATTAAATTCAACTACATACTAATTGGTCATTAATTTATAATCAAATCCGCAACCTTCCGCTTCCCCCAGCCACTCCCATTAATTCTACCGCTACTTACCCTTTTTCCCCTCCTGAACGAAAGCCACAAAGACAATGGCGATTAGGGTTGTCAAAAAAAATCGTTGTTCGTGAACAGCTCATGTTCGGCCCGTTATGTAGCTTGTGTTCGGCTCGTTCGTTAAGCAAACGAGCCGAACACGAACAAGTTTTTACAGCTCGAATTATAAACCGAATTGTAAACGAGCCGAACACAAACAGCTCTTTTTTCGCTCGTGTTCGGCTCGTTTTAGCTAGAAATAAAAAATATATATATAATTATTTATATAAAAATATATTACACATTATTTATATAATAATATATTATATATGTTTATATCTAAGTTTAAATCTCACATTTTACATCTATTTTTTTCAAATTAATTCTTACGAGCCAATTTCGAGCCAAACACGAGCCAAATACGAACACGAATATTTAAATCGAGTCAAACACGAACACACTGTTCACGAGCTAATTTTGAACACCGATTCACACTGTTCATGAGCAATTTCGAACATGAGTCAATTTCAAGTGAGTCAAACACGAGCCAAGCTTGAGCTCGCTCAAGCTCGGCTGTTTACAACCCTATATAGAACAAATAAATTAGAGTAAGCTCGAAAGGCAATGACAGGATCGCAGTGTCTGAGAAAGAATAAGACATAAAACTCCTGTCTTTCTCCCCCTTCTAGTCTGCCCAAGAAGTCACAAAGGTACCCACTTTTGAGCACTTCAAATTGTCTAAATTGAGGAGAAAAGGTATTTGAATTTATCTAGGTTTTAAAGTTGTCATTGTAGTAGTTTGACAGGATTTAGGTTAAATTCTACTACCAAAAAGCACCTAAATACTAAATGCAAAAAATCTTACGTAAGCACTTAACGTGCTGACATCTCTGAATGTTTTATGGTCCAAGAGATCAAATAAATGTTACTAGTCACTTAAACTAAATTATTTTCTAACCTTCTCTTGTTGGGAAAACATTAAATATATAAATATTTTGCTTCCCTTTTCTCATTTAGTGTCATAACATTTTTACTGCTTATTTTATCATCTCGTAATATCACTCATAGACGCCTTTCCACATTGACAAGCTCCTCAACAGGATCGAAATAAATAATATAAGTCTTAGATGACCACATTATTGTATTGCAAGCACAAGAGGCTAGAATTATGCAAATAGGACAACCAGTCAATATCTTGACAATAATCTATGAAATCAACATGAATATAGCTGCACTAGCACAACCTCATAATGAAGATGAAGACTATACACAAGAACGTGTGCAAAAGTCTCCTCAAGGAGAGCCCCAAGTCTTACGAAAATGGCTAGAGGCAATCAATGTGCTGGCAAATTGATGACTATAATGGTGACATCTGAAAATTTGAAGTTTAAGATTTGATGAAGTTCATGACAAACATTTTTTTAGAATTACGACAACAAAAGTACTATCTTATAAGATTCAATGACTACCAACGAGTGCCTTCTGCAAAAGTGAAATTATAACCAATTAGAAACTTTAAGTCCAATTATTATTATGAAAAGAACTTCTCAAATTATGGAAAATATGAACTTGTTCAAAAAAGTAGTGAGTAGAGCCAATTGTAATGACAATGATTGCTAACTTGCCAATAGATATTTCCTTGGCTTGCAACATAGAATTAGAAATGAGATGGAGCTCTAGATCCACAATACATAAAAGTGACTTTTCATTTGCACATTTGATAGAGAGAGAAAAAAAAAAGGCAAGGTTTCATTCCTAGACCTGAGGCTAACTCTCTGTTGATCTCACATATAGCCTAATCCACACCAAGTTGGCACTCCTAAACCCACCATTGAGGGTAGTAAAAATGTTAAAAAAAATATTTCTTTCAAGTATAGTAAGAATGATCAAATACAACATCAATGTAAATCCACATTACCTATTTGTAGAAGAAGAATTTAATTAGGAAAATGATAATTTAGATGAATTGCATTCTGAGACCTCACCCTTTGAGAATTACTAAAAGTCTTTTCAATCATATATTCTTCATTAAGATTGCTTGATAAATAAATTTTTTAAACCCACTAAAATTACAAATTATGTATTCTATTTTTTCCTAACCCAAAATGAACGAAAACATATATTTGGTTTTTATTAACAATGATTTACAACAAAAAAAAATTATTTGTTAACAAACTTTAAAAAGATCATGATATTGCCACAACATCTCCATAAAATTTGTTAGTGGAGAGGGAAGAAAAAATGACTTTAGTGAAGAAGAAAACTATTAATTTGCTCCATTGATTTCAACTGGAAATAAGAAGTGCTTGCAGACATAGGCTGCCAGTCTAGCAATATGCTAATATGCAATACAAACAATTATTTTTTTTTAAAAGAGAAAGACAGAGAGAGAAGGAAAAAAAAAGTTAAAAGAGTATTACCCGTCAAGCTGATACTTTGTTCTATGCCTACTATAACCAGCGCATTGTTCATCGGCACCAGATCCAACAAGTAGAACACGAGCTTCTGATTTGTATTTGTAATAATGCTGATCTTCCAGATGAAAATTACATATTTGTCCATCCACATGGCCATCTCCACCAGCAGCTAACCATAATGCTATACCAATGTTTAAATCCTACAGAATTTCGTAACACTTCTTTTTAATCACTATCAATACAACTCGAGAAGTAATTCTGTACGCTATTCATCTCTTTATCATTTTATTTACTTATTTGGAGGATGGTGATCAAGGAAAAGTAAATTTTCTATTGTTAAGATAACAAGCATGTGTAGGCTGTGTTAGATAGTTCAAGAAGAGCAATTTACACAATGCACATCCATGAAATAAAGTTAAAGCGACATACCATAAAGGTTTCTGCTGGATGTATTAACGACATTACATGTTTAGTGGTTTTCATTGTCAGATTTAAGAGCGTTGCATCAATCTCCACAAGTCGCCATCTGAAATCTAAAGAAGCTAATGCTTGATAGACATTTTCATTGACAACATAATTATTTCAAGTATTCACACCTTCGAAGCATAACAACAAAATATTTCACATTAATTACCTTCTCATTGGAGCAATCTTCTGAAGTTCTCTTAGCCCTAATCTTGCTGAAACTCTGTCAGGAGCAAACTGGCCATCAAAGCTTACATTTAACAAATCTATTATATCTGCCAATAAAAGCAAAAGAGCGATCATTCAAACTTAAAATCCATCAATAGCTATCAAATAAACAAAATATGTATTCCTTAATAAATATCTTGAAGATGACAATGATCCAAGAAGCAAGAAGAGAACAAGACAGAAAATGAAATTGAAGCACATAAAATTGCTAACACTAAACCAAAATCATGTATTTCCATTTTTACTTCGAGATAACAAATAGCCTAAACTACCACTAAAGGCAGGATTAGAATAGACCAGAAAAAACGCTTGAAGAACTTCATGTGTCCTATCTCGTAGTCACTACACATAAAACCTTACACAACTGGCAATCCTACAACCAACCCTGCAATACAAGATAATATAAGTGCCTAGGTCCTGCATAAATTTTTTTTTTTAATTTAACAAGCAATTAAAAGATGATAATATGCATTTGATTAGTTATTTTACATCATTAAACAAACTTATTTATATAATAAACGCTTCAAAATGCCATATTTTAATATTTTAAAAATAGTTTTTTTTTTTTCCTAGAACTCAACAGACCCGTCCAATATCCAATCTCCCACCCTGAAGATTAAGAAAGACAACTCAATGGCAAGTTATTATCATTTTGCCTGACCATTTTTTTACCATATTTTTTATTGTGAATTATTCCCATTGGGTACAACCACAGCTTGACGTCTTCTTCAAGATCGTGATTCCTTCGTCAATTTAAACATGATTCTATAATTTAACCGTGATTCACTCCCTTTACTCTTCCTCTTTATAAATTCCATCGCTCTTTGGGGACACAATTTGAGATTCTCTTAATCCGTAATTACAAATAACAAAACTCCAGTTCAATTTTTTATATCTAGGAAGATTTTTTTCAGGAAATTAATGATTGTAAGACTCCTTTAAGGTTTCAACTACAACTTTCAACTATAAGAACTCCTTTCTCTATGTCAAAAATGGCGTCAAGTTATTGAATGCCACTGGAAGACTTAGCAAGTGTAACCAGAATTGGTAAGCATTAAATTAATCAAGGTTTATATAAAAGAAAGAGTCAAGCCAATGCTGATAATATGTTAAATAGGACTTCATGTTCATATAGTTTCTAAGAAATCTAAAATGAATTCATATTATTCAACAAGATCAATTATGCCCTTCAAATATTTTCAGAATTTTAAATGAATCACTCTATCATTTAAAAAATCAAATAATGGTTGAATAACCAAGTTTTCAATTTTTCATTCAACTTAGAAATTTAGACCATAAGAGAATAAAGGCTACTAGATGCTCTTCACTTTTAAGTAGATATTTATGTTATACAAAGTAACTGTTAGGCCTTTTTAGGAAGTGTCCACATCATGCTCTGTCTGTTTGGTTAATCATTCAAACTTAAAAATGATATTACTTCATTTTGTCAGAACAATTAGAAAAATTAAAAAAAAAGAAACGACTTTATCAATTCATGGAAGAAATGACGAATATTCAACGGAACAATGTAGATAATTAAATATCAGATAATGAACACCATAACGCTCATAGGCCATTAAAGAATTACGCTAATCCTACGACAGATGAAATTCACTTAAGTATTCAAACTTTTGTCGTAGAATTTGTCGTAGACGCTAGCACATATGAATTGAAACATGCTATTATTCAAATGGTCCAGAACAACCAGTTTAGGGGAACTCCGTCTGATAAACCAAATTTACACTTAGCAACTTTTTCCCTTTTGCTTAAGGAATAAAGCTAAAATGTCATTGAATTCTTTAGCACATGGATCTATCAGAACTTATGGTGACTTAGCTCAAAAATTCCTAGCTAAGTATTTTTCACCTTCAAAAACTGCTAAACTTATAAAGAATATTACTTCATTTTACCAGTATGAAGGTGAGTCAATATAGGAAGCATGAGAAAGATTTAAGAAACTTCTTAAGAAATTTCCATATCATGCTCTATTAGAACTTAGGGTGACTTAGCCCAAAAGTTTCTAGCTAAGTATTTTTCACCTTCAAAAACTGCTAAACTTATAAAGAATATTACTTCATTTTACCAGTATGAAGGTGAGTCAATATAGGAAGCATGAGAAAGATTTAAGAAACTTCTTAAGAAATTTCCATATCATGCTCTATTAGAACTTAGGGTGACTTAGCCCAAAAGTTTCTAGCTAAGTATTTTTCACCTTCAAAAACTGCTAAACTTATAAAGAATATTACTTCATTTTACCAGCATGAAGGTGAGTCAATATATGAAGCATGGGAAAGATTTAAGGAACTTTTTAGGAAATTTCCACATCATGCTCTGTCTGAATAGTTAATCATTTAAATTTATTTATATGATATTACTTCATTTTGTCAGTATGAAGGTGAGTTAATATATGAAACATGAGAAAAATTTAAGAAACTTCTTAGGAATGTTCACATCATATTTTGTCTGATTGATTTATCATTCAAACTTTTTACAATGCGTTTGTAGGATCCCTTAGATCTATCATTGACGCTGCCACTGGTGTTTCACTTATATCGAAGTCATTTAATGAAGTTTATTCTTTAATTGAAGAGATGACTACAAACAATTTCCAAAAAACCTTCTGAAATGATAAATCCTAGAAAGGCATCTAGTGTTTACGATACAGACATGCTTTCAATTCTTACTTCTCGAGTAGCAGCAGTATCTAGGAAGTTAGATCATTTTGAAATGAACCAACCTCAAATATCTCCAGTAATTGAGGAAAATTTGTTAAGACAAATATTTGATTCTTAAGATTTCATTATTTGAGACTTTAAATGCAATTAACAACAGACCTAACCGTTATTCCAATTACTATAACTCAGGTTGGAAGAATCATCCTAACTTTAATTAGAATAATAATTATGGTGAGGGAAACAAATAATGGAGAAATAATTAAGCAAAACCTTTAGGAAATTGGAATAATTAGGGTAGCAATAATTATAGACCTTCTTATTCAGGCTTTAACAATAATTCAAAATTTAAGGAAAAGAAGTTGTCTCTAGAAGATGTTCTGTTGCAAATGGGAAATCAACTGCAAAGTTAAGGTGCGACAATAAGAAATATAGAGAATCAACTAGGACAAATTGCTAACTCACTTAGCAATCGAGCCCAAGAAACTCTTCCTAACAACACTGAGATAAACCCTAAAGAGAAGAATAGTGAGAAAGTTAAAGGTGTCCAACTAAAAAGTGAAAGAGAGATGGGGAATGTAACTCGAAATGAGAATGAGGTTGAGAAAAAAATTGTGGAAACTGAATAATCTGAGAACATGTTTCTAAGGAATTGTAAAAATCAATCTCTCCTAATAAAATTAACTAAGAAAAACCACCACATTCATTTCCTCAAAGACTTAGACAACCGAAGCGGAATCAACAATTTTTAAAATTTATGAAAGTAATTAATAAGTTAACTATTAATATTTATTTCGCTGAAGCTCTGGAGCAATTGCTCAATTATGTAAAGTTTATAAAGAATATCCTTAATAAGAAGAGAATGTTTGAAGATTATGAGACAGTTGCACTTAGTGAGGAGTGCAGCATTATAATTCAGAAAAAACTTTCTCAAAAACTTAAAAATACGGGAAGTTTTATCATTCCCTGTGTAATATGAGAAATTTTTTGGAAAAGCTTTATGTGATCCTGGAGCAAGCATCAGCCTTATGTCTTTATCTATTTTCAGAATGTTAGGTTTAGGAGAAATTTCTCCAACTACTGCAACCCTTCAGTAAGTTGATCGAACGATCACTTGTCCAAAGAGGGTTATAGAATATGTGTTATTTAAAGTGGATAAATTCTTCCATTTTGACTTCATTGTGTTAGATATGAAGAAAGATAAAAAAATTTCAAATAATTTAGGGAGATCTTTTCTTGCTAGCGGACGAGCTATGATAGATGTGCAAAAAGGTGAATTAACCATGAAAGTAAATGATTAGGAAGTTACATTCAATGTTTTGAAGTCTATGAAATATCCTGTTAAAGGAAAAGATGTGTGTTTTCGAGTAGACTTAATTGATTATTTATGTAGTAGTCATTTCCGAGAAGATTGTGAAGTTAAATTAGTTGAATAGGAGTTAGATAATGAGAAGGATACGAATATCCAAGATGAGTTGGATATATTGACTATTGAAAATTCAAAATTTGTTCAGAAGATTTTTTAGATTCTAGATGCAACAGAAAAAAGTAAATCGCTCATTCCTTCGATTGATGAACCTCCTGAACTTGCGATGAAGGTACTTCCTACACATTTAAAAAATATGTTTATTTACAGAACTTATCTACATTATCAGTCATCATATCCTCAGATTTGACTCAATTTCAAGAAAAAAAATTAATGAAAATTCTTAAAAATTATAAGAAAGCTTTCGAATGGACCTTAGCAGATATTAAAAGAATTGATCCTTAAATTTGTATGCATAGGATCCTGATAGAAAATAATCATAAATCCTAAAAAAAGATTAAATCCAATTATGAAAGAAGTTGTTAAAAATGAGATATTGAAGTGGTTTGATGCAGGTATTATCTATCATATATCATAGTGTTTAGATTAGTCTTATACATTGTGTTACTAAAAAAGAGAGAGTGACAGTATCTGTAAATGAACTGAATGACTTAAATTCAACTAGACATATCACTGGATAATGAATTTGTATTGATTATCGAAAATTGAATTTAGCCACTAGAAAAAAACACTTTCTTTTACCCTTTTATGTATCAGATGTTAGAAATATTAGTTGGTCACCGATACTTTTGCTTTTTAGATGGATATTCTGGATATCATCAAATATCTATAGCTCATAAGGATCAAGAAAATACTACATTTACGAGCCCCTGTGAGACTTTTGTTTTTAGAATAATGTCTTTTGGGTTATGCAATGCACCTGCTACTTTTCAGATGTGCATGATGTCTACTTTCTATAACTTGACTGAGAAAGGGCTAGAAGTTTCATGAACGATTTCTCAGGGTTTGGAACCTCATCTGATTTATGTTTAGACTAATTAGCGAAGGT